TTTGAGGCAGATATGGGAAGGTGTGTTAGGGGAGGGTGTTGGCCATACTCCTAAAAACCCAGCAGTAGAGAAGTAGTAAAGCATGCTGCCTGGATGACCCAACCTGCCATTCGGTTAGGAGGCTGTGATCGGATATATTTAGGTGCCAGGTTTTCCATCGGAATGCAAGTAACCTCTACATTTAATTTCCAGCACTCAGCCTTGTGTGCGTTTCTTTGTTTTGAAACTCTCAACAAACGCCCTGTAATTTTCTCGTAGCCACCATATCCAGGTATGGAGCAGCCACCACACCACCCTTACTATCAGCACCATGCACCTCCGCCTCAAGCTCACCCGCCGTACTCAGGACATCATCCCCTATCACATGAAGCAAGATACAGAGACAAACGAGTAGTAAGTGTCCACAGAGATGGAGGAGGATGCGAGGCTGCAGGCCACAGTAGGAATTTGGGGTGCAGGTGTAGCTTAACTTGAGGTTGACTTCGATTAAACTGCATTTTTAAGACCTAGATTAATTTTCCTTGGGGAAAGAGATATTTAGATTGACTAGAGACTTCCAGCATCCTTGAAAAGCCTCTCTTCCCCCAGATTATGTAAAATTGTGCTGTTCTGAGATTAGGTGTGTGCTTATGCTGGCTTCCAGCTGTCTAGTTCTGAAAGTCTTCATGCTGAAGCCCAGTTTCAGTAAGGACATGCCTGTAACCCTGCTTGTGCTCATGCACAGCAAATTATCAGCAGAAAAGTTTGTGGTTTGTCACTTTTTGCAGGCACATCAGGAAATGGGGCAGATTGTTAAATAATTTCTGTTCGCAGCCTTTGAAGGCTGCTTAGCTTTTAGGTCTCTTGCTGGTATCTGGCTTTTGAACCCCGGGTGCTGCCCACAGACATGCTGCTGCCCTGAAGGTGAAAGAAGAAATTTGGGCTTATAGATGCTGGACATAATTTTGGGGTGTTTTTAAATACCGGGCTTTCCCAGGTGTTACGGCCAATCCTATGGGTAAGGGAAGGAAGGGAATTTTAATCTGGGAAAGAAAGTAAACAGAGCTGTTCTTTCATCACAGCACGACTACGACATGAGAGTAGATGACTTTCTTCGCCGCACACAAGCAGTTGTCAGCGGTCGGAGAAGCAGGCCCCGGGAGAGAGACCGAGAGCGGGAACGCGACCGACCTAGAGATACTAGAAGAGACAGAGAACGTGACAGAGGCCGTGATCGGGAAAGGGAGAGAGAGAGGATTTGTGACCGGGACAGAGACAGAGGTGAAAGAGGTAGATACCGAAGATAATCTGTCTGGAACCAGTGCTCACTTGAAACAAAAAAAGCTTGTATTTTTTTGTGTGTTTACAAGTAGTACATTTTATTTTCAACTGTCTACTTAAAGTTCGTTGTGTAGAAGGATTTATAATGACCCTCTCTATTCCAAGCATGCAGTGAACTGTGAACTGGAAAAAAAACCCTCAAATCAGCCAAAAAATAAAATACGCAAAGCTGACACTCAACTTCGCGTTTCTATTGGAGCAGAATGGGAAACAGCTGAGAATGTAGATATTGATTAATTCTCATAAGTGTTCATCTACTTGGTGATTTCATTCTAGGTTTTTGAATACTGATGGATAACTGCCTTTTTTTTTTTTTGCTTTGACATTTTTCTTCCTGTAGTTTCACATGGTTCAGTGGGAGAATGCTGTAATTGAGTATGCAAACACTGAAGTATGATTTTTTTTTTTAAATTTTTGACTGTACGACAGTGTTGAAGCAGCCTTCCCCCCCCCAACATGTTTTTCAGCCCTATCTGTCAAGCCAAGTGTTTTTTCAAGTCTTCAGTGACGAAAGCAATATTAAGAAGATAACTAATTTTTAACCCTTTTTTAAAAAATCTTCGCGTGGTCAGTAACATTTTGGTCCATTCTTTTGTCTAGTCTCCTTCCAATAGGTACACATTGCTTGGAATGTTCACAACCTGCGTGTGTGGAACCAGGAAATATCACTGTATTCTAAGTTGCTACCTTTTTCTTTTTTTCTTTTTTTCTTTTTTTTTACAAAAATAAATTAGTAATTATTGAAACAGTTAAAACTCCAGATCGGGTTTCTTGGTCGTCTAAGTTTGCCAGCTTTGATAGATTCTGGCAGTTCTAGGAAAGTATTTGTGTTCAAAAATGGTTTCAAGATTCTTGCCATCGGCAGAATTGATCCATAGCCTGCCTTTAGGAAAAGGACTGTTGAAATAAAGGGTAATTGCTTTTCTGTTTCCACAGTGAAGTAGTCAACTTGTAGCTCCTGCAGCTAATCGGGGTTACTAAGGCCCTACATGTTCCACTTAAATGGTCTTTGAGCTGTTGAGAGGCTGTCCTTGGCCATAATCACACCTCTCTCTCAGGAGGGTGTCTGGGAGACCCAGGCTCTCCCCACGTCTTTGTAGTGCTTACTGCATCACTGGTTATTTTCTTAAATAGTGAATATTTTCATCTAAATGCCAATGGTAAAACCAAAAAAAAAAGACTCATGTGGAAGCTGTTCAATTTCTCCAACAATTTCCTAGTTCCTGAAACTTCTGAGAGTAGCACTGCCTCAGTGTACTTCTCATAACCTTTCTTCAGCGTCTTCTGTAACAAAGCCAGATGTAGCATGTGCCTTAAATACCTCCAACTCCACAGTCCTGTAGCTGGGTGGATAAACTGCAATCTGAGACTGGCCACAGTGTGGCAGTTGTGGAACCGTGGTTGGTATAGCTCTGACAGTTAATTTGGGCTCTGTATTTTAGTCTGCACAGCTGTAGTAAACATCTGTGTGTGCTAAGCCAAGTGTTTGACCTCTGACATGCAAGTATGTTGGAATTTTTTAAACCCTACAAGAAGCTGACTCTGTATTTGGGTTCCTCAAACCAGTTTATTGTTCACTCTTACCAGTTGGATTAGATCAGTCTATCGAATTTGTGTCTACTTGGAAAACTGCATCACAGGCCACCTTCATTCTTTCTTTCATCTTTCCCTGCTTTCTATACAGAGTCTAGAAAGAGGAGGGGGGCTGGTTGGGTTTTTTACCTTTTAAATTCAGTACTAGATGAGCCACATTTCTCTGACTGCAAAGCACTTTCTCTGTCCAACTTCCCCCAGCTATCCCATGTCCTTGCTAGCCTACCTGACCAGTGTCTTTGTGCAATGCTAGGAGGTTTTCTGGCCTTCTGACAACCAGACTGATGTCTTGGCAAATGTGCTTGCAGAGGCTGGATGAGGGGGGCTGTTAGTGAGCAGTCTTGGTGGAGCTGTGCCTAAGGAGTCAGCTCTGTGAAGAGTCGCAGCAAAACCTTCCTCATCTTGGGCCTGAATGTCATGCTGTTCTACTTTGTGTTCACTCCGCGTATTTCAGCGTGCATGTTCGTGCATTTGATCCTATCGTGACACTGGGAACAGTGTACCAGAATCATAGCATCACAGAATGGTTTGGGTTGGAAAGGATCTTAAAGCCCATCTAGTTCCACCCCCCCTGCCATGGGTAGGGACCCCTTCCACTAGACCAGGTTGCTCCAAGCCTCATCCAGCCTGGCCTTGGACACTTCCAGGGATGGGGCATCCACAGCTTCTCTGGGCAACCTGTCCCAGTGCCTCCCCACCCCCTCCGGGAAGAATTTCTTCCTGATGTCCAATCTAAACCTCCCCACTTTCAATTTAAACCCGTTACCCCTTGTCCTGTCACTACAGGCCCTTGTAAAAAGTCCCTCCCAGCTTCCTTGTAGGCCCCCTACCTGTGACAAGCACTAGTGTTGTTCTGACCCGTCTTTACTTCGGAAACAATTCGCTTGAGCTTTTGTAAGTGTTGTAGTACGAAGAGATTGAAGCAGATGTTGAAACTATTGACAATGCTAAGAAAAAGGTTAATGTAGTATAGGCAACTTTATTACGTAAACAAATACGACATGTTTTCTCAGGCTGTTCTGTTTGAAAACAGTTCTGCTGCATCCAGAATACAGCAAATAACCTGTTAAAATTGGGGCAGGTTCTTTTTCTGAGTAAGCTGGCACAGCAGTGGAGTACCCTTCCCTAGAACAGGAGGCCTGAACTAGCATCACCGTAGGTAGGCTTTCATCAGTAGGTGCACTTTAAATTATTTCAGGAGTGCTGCGTTTACTGCCACTGAGCCAAGAGCAGCAGCATTCTCCCTCCCGAGTTTTCAGGCAAGGCAAGTGCCTATTGCACTATTCTCACGTGGAATGTTACTGCATTGCAAGTTCCACTTCTACACGTTTTTCTGCGTTTATCTGTGTGGCTCAGAGGCTTTTGAGGGTGAAGGTGGGCAAATTCAGCATAGTGGTGGTTTTCACACCCCTGGGGTGTCACAGAACGACAGCCTGTGCGGCAGGACTCCAGACTGAGTGGACAAGAGAAAAAGTTATTGGGGAAAGAGAAAGGGTAATCAGAAAAGTAATTTCTCTGCTGGTTTTAGGACTCTGGTCTCCCCTCTGCCCCCAAGTAGTGCATTTGTAAAAATGTGACGATCTGGGCTTCACCAGCCACTTGCAGCTCCCAATTTTTCATATCTTGGCTGTTCAGGTGGGTGCTTTTTAGGAGCCCGTGATCTTAGCTTCACTGCCCAGTCTGGAAAGAGCTGTTCTGACAGGAGAGGCATTTTGGTTGCGAATCATTGAGGCTGGGTGACGTTGTAGGAGATGACAGAGTTAAGGAGACTGGTTACAGGTGGAGGGACCCACACAGTACCATCCATGGGAAGGCTGAGCTTACGAAATGCACCAGAATGAATCTGAAAAGGTAGAGCAGCAGTTACCACTCTAGGGACTGTGTGTGATCAGCTAACAGGGTCCCAAGGGATAAAGCAACTGTAATTCAACCTTATTTAGTCCAGAAGGAATTTGCTGGCTAAGCAAGCAGCTCTGCCCCACAACAGCTTTTTAGCGTGACCCAGATCAATGTGGTGCTCAGCTTAAAGAATATCCTAATTATTTTATTCACCAATAAATGTGCATGAGTACCTTGCTGAATCAGCCTAGGAGAAGAGAAAGTGCGGATGGGAACGGGAAGTCTATTCTTTCTTCCTCTTTGCAACCCTGCCGCATCTCCGACAGCAACACAAGCAGCACTTGACAAGAATGAAGATGGCAGTGGCTGTACAGGTGAACAGGAAGGCCAGAACATCCAGGCAGTGGTACTGGTACCAGGTGAGGTGGTGAGCAGCTGGTCTCAAGTGCTTTGCTCCTTTGTGACGCATGACAAATTCAATCCAGAAGACTGCTCTGTCCAGAGGCTTCACTGGCTGGTCGTGGTGTATCTTGGATAATCTTAGAGCATTTTCCTTATAGCTGGGGGAAAAAAAGAAGAAACCAAGGAGATAGGTCATTGATTCCTGAAACAACCCATTCAGCAACTGTCTGTCGTCTTGAGGAAGGTTGACAGCCCTGCTTTTACTTTCATCAGTGTTATTTTAAATATATTTGAAACTGGCCCAATTCACTCCCATCTGCATAAAGTTGGGTTATAAATGGTAATAAAGAAAGCCAGTCTTTTTCAAAGCAAAGTTACTAAAAATTATTCCAGATATTTCTTTAAAAATACCAACCTGGAAACATTTGCTGCATAGAATCCTAGAATTGTTTGGGTTGTGAGGGACCTTAAAGCCCATCCAGTTCCAACCCCCCTGCCGTGGGCAGGGACACCTTCCACTAGACCAGGTTGCTCCAAGCCTCATCCAGCCTGGCCTTGGACACTTCCAGGGATGGGGCATCCACAGCTTCTCTGGGCAACCTGTCCCAGTGCCTCCCCACCCTCTCCGGGAAGAACTTCTTCCTGATACCTCATCTAAACCTCCCCACTTTCAATTTAAACCCATTGCCCCTTGTCCTGTCACTACAGGCCCTTGTAAAAAGCCCCCCCCAGCTTCCTTGTAGTCCCTTCAGGCACTGGAAGGCTGCAATAAGGTCTCCCCAGAGCCTTCTCTTCTCCAGGCTGAACAGCGTGTGCTGTTGCAGCATAATACAATGTGCTGGGTTTGGCTGGGACAGAGTTAATTACTTCACAGTAGCTGGTTTGGGGCTGTGTTTTGGGTTTGTGCTGAGAACAGCGTTGATAACAGGCATGTTCTCATTACGGCTGAGCAGTGCCAACACAGAATCGGGGTCTTTTCTGCTCCTCACACCACCCCACCTGCGAGTGGACTGGGAGGCACAAGAAGTTGATAGTGGACACAGCCATGACAGCCGACCCCAAATGGCCAAAGGGATATTCCAGACTGCATGATGTCACGGTCGGCGATAAAACTGGGGAGGAGGTTGGTGGGAGTGCTGCACACACCAGATTTCATCCAGGTCTTTGGATCCCTGGTTGTCATGCATGTTGTAGATCACCTCCTCCATGGCTAATTCCCTCAGATACTGGATACTTCCATTAGTGTTGGTCTGTTTGCTTCCAGAATTTAGAAGTTCTTCCTTGAAGGGATACTTGACCTTCACGCTTGGCAGGAGTCACTGCCACAGAGTGAAAACTCCTGCCTTTTTTCAATCCCTTTGTCAATGGCCTTAGCCTTGGCAAAGGATCCCAGCTGCCGGGCTTCCTTACCCTCTAATTCATGACTGATATTTACAGTAACCAAAGGATATTGGTAATTCAGGGGTAGGCAAAAGAATTACTGTGGCTACAGACAGAGTTAACATAATACAGCTGGAATTGTCACCCAGAGCCTCCAGAGGATTTACACTAGCAGAGAACAGGAAGAGAGCAGAAAACTGGAAGAGACCAGAAAACTCAGGAGCTGCTCTGGGCCTTCCAAGAACTATTTTTCTCAAAGGGATTATAAAATGTAGTATAAGGAAAATCAAATTCCTAATCTCTCCTTTCTGAGAAGTGAAAGATGGTTTTCTTCTAAAACCCAAACTCCAGGTGCTCAGTAGTTTTGGTTCCCAGAAGAGCCAGCAGAATTTCTCACAGCAGCGGCCCAGGACTTCAGTAACCTCACCCTACTGCAAGGCAAGAACAGAACTCACGTGGAATTGTTAATGACTGTATTCAGCGCATCGAGTAGGTCCTGCGTCTTCAGCGTACTGTAATCCAGCTCCACTGCAGCTCCCTTTGCCCTCATGTGAGCAACGTTGTCGTGCTGGTCGGCAAACATGGGAATCCCAACCATCGGGATCCCATGGTAGATAGCTTCATAGATCCCATTGGTCCCTCCGTGGGTGATAAAGGCCTTCGTCAAGGGATGGCCTGGAAGAGCGAGGGAGAGGTACGTGTAACAGCAGCTGTGGCAGACTACCCTCGCTTGGACAGGAGCACTGCAGACTCCCCAGGCGAATGCACTGCTGGAGAAGGGAACAGCCTTGAGCTCTGGGTCAGCAGCAGAGCTTGCACGCTTAGTTTTCCCACAGTTACATGTATTTTAATGCTGTGTATCAATCAGCGTGTTCCTCCAGACTACCCCAGAGTTAGTTCAGCCCTTCTGCTGTTGTACAGTTCTAGTTTTCATGTGGTCTTATGTTCACAGCATCCCACTGCTGCAGCCTTACTTAGGTCGAGCATTTTGAAGAGTGAGCCCTGGAGATTAACTGCAGAGGCCAAACTGTGCTCCAGAGCACGTCCACTTTGATTGATATTTACTCCTGTCTACACGTGGTTCTTAGCCCTTCCAGACAGTTACCACTGAGCTAAGACAGAGGCTTTTGCTTTAGAGATCCACCTTTGTAGCTAAGCTCAAGCTGCTGCCTTCTTGAGCCACTGCTCCCTACTCCCTTCACAGCCTGGCCGTGTATTCCATGGACTTTGCACAGCCATTCACCTGCAAGTCAAAAGCAGGCTGGGAAATTAAGCTTCCAAGATCAAACCCCTGCTGCCTAAGCTGCAAAACTAATTGTAGCCACAAGTGTTACATAGTTCTTTTGCCAGAATAAACCATTTTAGTGGAAAAACAAAGGAAACAGGTTTTCCAAGGGCACAATGCATCCCAGATAGTATCAGTCTCACCGAGCAGGTCATTTTGGGGTATCCAGTCATAAATCCTGGTGTTGGAGCCCAGAGTTTCTGGTTTTTTTCCTTTGTATCGCCAGAGGACCTTGAACAAAGGAAGAATAAGATAAACACAGTGCATGTAACTTGCCCTTCTCTATTATTGCATGTAGTGTAGGGCTTTATCTCAAACCCATGTACCTTTTCCCAGTAATTTAAATAGCTTTGGCTCCAGTTTAGCTCTTTCATTAGGTATTATGTGCTTCTTATATAAATTGCATAGTGGGATTTTTGTATTTTGGCCTGTGGACACACCTCCAGGTCATCTGGTTTAGAGAAGGGAAGATGTAGATGCCCTATCCCTGGAAGTGTTCGAGGCCAGGCTGGACGAGGCTTGGAGCAACCTGGTCTAGTGGAAGGTGTCCGTGCCCATGGCAGGGGGGTTGGAACTAGATGATCTTTAAGGTCCCTTCCAACCCAAACCATTCTATGATTCCATGAAATGCCAGAACCCCATGAGGTGACTCGGCCATCTGCCTCTCTGCAGAGATGCAGGTAAAACCCAGGCCAGTCCAAACATAAAAGGCTCTCTGAAGGCAACAGGAGTGACAGAAAACAAGGCAGGTTGGTTTAGACTCGAAAGGAAACTCACCTTTTGTGGAAGCTGGCTGAGGGCTTTGGCAATCATGTTACTTTTTTCATCAGTTAGGTTGTAGACCATCGACCCGAGAGAGAATACCACGATGCCATGTTCCCCTGAGCTCTGAACAAATTCTTCCATTTCCTAGGAGAGGCAGAAAACATGCTAAGAGTAATTGTGCACTGCAGATCACACAGATTGGGTGAACAGGAACCTTTCTGGCTTATCGAGGAGATGATCGTGCTGTGTGAACACCTCCGCTGAAACAAGGGCATTCCAAAGGCGGACCTGGCCCTGTGCAAAACATTTGCTCCCCAAGAAGGAGCAGGACAGGTTGAGACAGGTGACAGAAGCTTTTGTCTTCTTTGAAAGCAATTCAAGCAGTTTCAAGACATAATTCTTCTAGAGCACAAGCAAAAAAAAAGAGGGCCGTACCCTGTGACACTCCCTGGCATTGTCATGGTTCTGGATTTTACCGGGGCAAGTGCTTTGCATTTCATAGCTCTGCAGGAAGGGACGGTGATGCAAACTGGTTTTCAGCATCCTGATCAGAGATTCATTGAGTCACTGCTGTCCCTTCGGTAGTCAGCCAGTTCTCTTCTTTCTTGCCATACGGCACATGGCGCTAAACAGATTTTCTGCAGATGAGACCAGTAGGTCTTCCTGTTCTTTCTTTTAGTTAGTGTCATGTGAAATGGAGCAATAGCATCCAAAAGACAATGGTTATCCATTTCCCCTGCTACAGGGGAATGGGAAGGGAGTCAGAAGGTTTCTTTTAGTAAAAAACTTGCACTGCAAACACCCTGCCTTCTCTAAGGCACCTACAGGAGTGATAAACTAGACTAGAAGATGTTGTAATGCCATCATCAGTATCTGGGAGTTTCAATTTCCACCTGCATATTGCCCGTCGCAGCAGAGCGTAGGCTGGACAAGGTGGGTATTTCACCCCCTTTAAGATGTCTTACACCAAGCAACAATAGAAAAAGCGTTCATGGCTCATCTCTTTCTGCAAGTCTTGACTCCGTTTTGTTTAAAGAATTTGTCCTGTCACAGTGCCTTTTTGCATCAGTTATTTCAGCGTTACCATGGGCTGCAAGTCTGCACCTTAGAATGGAATCTTTCTCACCTATTACCTTTGGTAACGGCTTTGCAGGCTGGCAGTGAAGTCCTCCAACGAACTCGAAGTTGGGCAGGAAAGGGCGTGGGAATTCAAAATCCCAGTATGTTCTGATTAACCATATCTCTGCTTTCCCCATCGTCTCGCACAGGGTTGTGGGCCTTCCTATGGACAAGGTACAAGGGTTTACAACGCGCACGGGAGCGGTCTTGTTTGCCGTAGATTGCGAAATAGGAGCCTTACCTTGTCTTGTGGCACTCCCAGTCAGTGTAGTCTATCAAATCATGCATGAAATGAAAACACGGACAAATGCACACCTATTCCTTGCCCTGTCCTGTGTTTGGCCTTGGCAGGATGCCACAAACAAGACAATACGATATTTAAAAGGATTTTAAACTTTCAGGATGAATTTAGAGCTGTACAAATGTGGGAAGCATTTAGTTTCTGTGGTAAAGAAACACAATTCTTGCACTGCTGAAAGACTTCATTACCTGTGCTTGTAATAAAAATGTGCTTTGGGGAAGAGAACAGGCACAGAAAATCTAGTTCCAAATAATAAATTCATCACGAAGTGATGATCACCAGTCAGGGAGGGAAGTTGTTAAACAAGGTTCTGTGATATTTTTCAAGTGGTGACTCAGTCAGTGGCTGCTCAGACTGCAGCAAAAAACAGGTACAGCCACCCCTAGTTCTCTTGGGGACTGGGTCAGCTCCTTAGCACACATATTGGGAAAATCTGACAAAATCCATAGATGCTTTGAATGTCACTTTAGGCAAAATCCAACGTCTCTAAAAGTCCCTCTATAGAAAAAAAAA